CACTATCATCATCATCATCATCATCATCATCATTATTTTGGTCAGTCCTGGAGCTTGAACTCAGAGCCTGGGCATTGTCCCTGAGCTTCTTTTGCTCAAGGCTAGCACTCTACCATTTGAACCACAGCGCTACTTCTGGCTTTTTCTGTTTTTGTGGTACTGAGGAGTTGAATCCAGGGCTTCATGCATAAATGCATGCTAGGCAAGCACTCTCCCACTAAGCCACATTTCCATCCCAGTTTCATTATTTTTTATTAGATTAATTAATTTCTTGAGACTGGGTGGATTTTAGGAGAGGGCCTTGGTTAACTCCAGCTCCATTTGTTCACTAGTGTCAGGAAGGCATTGGTGGATACCTGCTTTCTATCGTGCATACAGTTTTTACTTATTTTCTCATTTCATTGTGGTCCATCCTCACCTTACTAATTGGTCTCCTTCTAATATCTTGTTGTGCTACACTCTTTGCCCAGGGACCGTCCAAGAACATAAATTTATCATTGTCACATCAATAAATCATTGTATGTGTGTAAGCAAACTCCTAGAAACTTTTCACCCAGGGTCAGATGCTTTGTATTGAAAATGGACCAGCACTGACTTTATTTCCCAGGCACAAAATTTCTTGAAAACTCTGGTGACTCAGCCCAATGCATACTAATGCTCAATGAGTGTTAGCATATTGTTTGACAAGAAGGATAATGACAAGGTTATAAAAATTGAACATTAGTGTAAATAAGCGTATACTTTACTTTCACTTGTCCTTAGTACTTTACTTTCACTTGTCCTTAGTGCATTCTTAGTAGTGTTAAAAAGACAAAATGACAACAAATTTGGGTACGAATTGAAATGGCTTTTGTCTGTAATTCTTGAATCAGAGCAGCCTCTGTTCTTTCAAATTGATGGAGAGCTCCTTGTCAATAGTTTGTAAACAGGGAAACAGTAATAAGAGAGAAAAAGCTAATTGATTGACACTGGGTTACTTCAGGGTGTGTGTGTGTGTGTGTGTGTGTAACCTTCCTTATTACACTAACTCAAGTAAAGATCAATCACACATTTTCAGGGAAAAAAACCTGATCTGTTTGGGTCTTTCCTTACAGTATTAATTTGATCATGTGACACTTGGCAGGAGTGACTCCATTTTGGCTACTATGGCCAGTTTGGGTCTATGGCAGGAACTCAGAATCAAGGGCCTTCTGTAATTAGTATTGAACAGTAGAATCTCACAATAAGAAAATGTTAACTCAGATTTAAGGTATGTCTCTTAGTGTAGGAACTTGTTCAATACTACGTAAAGCAATGCAAATATTTTCAAGAGGGTCAAACAGTCTTGGTGTATAGAAATTGTCATTTGATGTTTGTTAATGGAGAATCAACAGACCTTTCAAGATGTTCTTAAAATGAGCAATGTTATTCACAGATTTTATTTCCCAGGCAAGAATTTCATGGAAGAGCAACATTACACTGGTGAACACAGTGGAATAATAAAGCCACATTAAGATGGACAATGAACTATGTGAGTTTCCATTTTCAATGTAAAATGAAGTACTGGCTAACCCAAAACCCATTTCCATGGAAAACTTCCTCTGATTAATTTTTGCAGCAAATCTCTATTTCAAATGTTATTTTTAAAAACCTACAGCCAAATGTCTTTGTATTCATTTAGTACTTACCATCTAAGCATGTAAGAAAATGAACCATGAAGGAAAAAGCTGGAAATAGATATTTTCAAAATCAAGACATGAGGTTACTATAGTGAATAATAAAAGGACTTCATCAAGAATTCATCTCCTATCTAGGATGTTCTTGAAGTTTAATTTGGAGACACAGTGCTCAAATCATTTTTTTCCTAAAGAGGGAGAATGAAAAGCGTTAAAGAGAAAATGAATGTGTCATGTCAATTTGAACTTGGCTATGCAAAACTCTTGGTTATTTTTACAGATAACAGCTATATAGAAACTCTGGAGTCGATAGGGGTTAACTACATCTTCATCCTACCAATATGATAATAATAATAATAAAATAAAGTCAACAGATAAAACACTGCACACATATAGTCATGACATTTAGAATAAAATGGCTTTATTAGCTAGTGTTTGAGGAAGTTCCAGTAGTTCACTGAAGTCTCAGCTCTCTTGACCTTTTAGAGATCTGTCCACATCTGACAGACACATTATTTCAGAGGTAAGACTCTCCTACCCTCATACTGATCATTGAGCAACTCAAAGCCTTAAACCCATTTCTAGACACAAGCCTAAGCAGGGATGTATATTGCCATTGTGCTTATGATTAATGTCTCCAAAATAATTTTAAACTACTTGTAACCCTTGAGTGTCACCACTGAAAATCTGTCTCCAGCAACCATGTTTATTTATTAGATGCTAATTTCCAAAGTACAAATGTATTCTTTAACATTGATCACAATCATTAGAAAAAGGTTGGGTGTTGATGAGGTATAAAAGGAGGGAAATGTCGTGTGGTAAATGCATATGGGAATGTGACCTTCAGTGTGACCTCCTGTCACTGTGGCCCCTGGCAGGTAATGTTCTAAGGCAATAGCCAATGGTTCCCAAAGAGCAGACTTTCACATGGTTTTCAGTAAAAAAAAAATTTAAAGATGCATGCTATATGTGGTATACAGTATATGTAAGAAGGAATGTCTTGCTCTTATTTAAAATGGATGATGAGTTGTAAATGAACCTTCCCTAAGAGAAAGACAAACAGATAAGTTATCTTGGTTTACTTTTCATAAATTAAGCCTTTTCTTTTGCTTCAAAATTTTCAATACTCATAAAGGAAGCATAATGAATACCTAGTAAATAACTGGAATAAGCCAAAATAAGATGTAACTTTCTAAAATTATCTTTAAGTAGTTGCACAAAAGAGGTACCATTTAACAAAGTAATTTATGACTACAACGCATCTTGATCAGTGTCACTCCCTTTAACATTCCCAACCCTCAACCCACCCCTTCTCTTACTTTTCTTTATTCTGTGGCATATGCAGTGAATTCTTGACTGCATTCCCCTCCCCTTCCCCAATTATTTGTTGATCCCTCTCTCCTTGCCTCCACCCTTGCCACGTACCCTTTTCCTGATACTTATTATATCTTTCTAGTCTTCCTAGTCTTTCTAAAAAATTATGCTACTTGAGCTCTCTGCAGAATCTATTATACTTCAGTTAATTCATTTGTAGCTACTTGTATGGCACCCAAAGTGTTTACATACAGATATATAGATTCCTTCTACCTATTACAAATGAGGGAAACATGCAACCTTTGTTTCTCTGGGTCTGGCTTACTTCGCTTAATAAAACTTTTTCCAAGTCTTTCCATTTCCTTATGAATGGTACAATATCATTTTTTCTAATGGATGAGTAAAATTCCATTGTGTAAATGCACTACATTTTCTTGATCCATTCATCCATTGAGGGGCATCTGGGCTGATCTCGTATCTTGGCTATGATGAATAGTGCTACAATGAGCATGTTTGTGCTGATGGCTTTAGTGTAACCTTGTTTGTGTTCTGTTAGATAGATGCCCAGGAGTGGAATTGCTTGGATCACAGGGAAGCTCTATGTTCAGTCTTTTGAGAAACCTCCATATGACTTTCCTGAGAGGTTGAACATGCTTATTCCCATCAACAGTGTAATAAAGTTCCTTTTTGGCCAGCATTTGTTCTTGTTTGCTTTCTTGATAATGGCTATTCTAAATGGGAGGAGTAAAATCTAGTGTTGTTTTTATTTTCATTTCCTTTATGGCCAATGATGTTGAGCTTTTCTTCACATGTCTATTGGCCATTTTTACATCTTTGAGAAGTTTCTCATTAGTCCATTTATTAATTGGGTTGTTGTTTCCTTGAGGTTTTAATTTTTGTAATCTTTTTAACTTTGACACAAAAGATTTAATTCAAGAAAGACTATTTTTAACTGATATTCATAGAATGAAAAGTAATATACAAATAAATACCAAAATTTCTAAAGTCACAATTCAGTATAAGCTGATTAAAACATGGCTTCAGTTATGCTTTTATATGATCTTTAATTTTTTTTAAAAAAGGAGTTTCTTCCTAATGATATAATCAGATTCAAAGGTAGGCCCAGAAGTGACAAAATTATAGATAGATAGATAGATAGATAGATAGATAGATAGATAGATAGATATTCTTTGTTCTGATAGACATAGGAACACACTTAAGATGTGTTATTTTTGAAACTGAAAAAAAGAATCACATTTTCCTAGCTAATAGGTTACCCATGCTTTTTTAGTACCACCTAAAAATTCAGTCCTTAGTTGAACTTGAGGTACCTACACATGGATTTCATTTCCAATTGAAATGTGTTTGATTTTTGCCATTGCTCTTGGAACTTGTGAAATAACAGAAATCTTGTGATGAATGCGAGAACTTGAACTTGCAGGAACTGCTCTAGTGCTACTCTATGGCTCACATGACTTATGTCTTAGCCTGAAACCTGCAACTAATCTCTAGGAAGCTCCCTGAGTCTCTCTAGAGAGCACAATCTGAGGACAGCTGTGACTTTTCTGCATCTCTCCAAAATGTTCTTGGGTTATGCCAACTTCTGAGAAAAGTTCCTGTGACAGCTCTGCATCTAAGAAGAGAGGAGGGGATGGTTCCACTTTATTCTGCCATTCATACAGATTCATCTCAATAAAAAATTAAGAATAACTGCTTCCCTCAGCCTTAATGAAAGCTTCTCAAGGTTTACTTTTGTAACTTGATTTAAAAAAAATATTCAACTCCTTTTAAATCCAGAAACTCTTGACATTTGGAGTAAAAACATTTTCTCCAGGGCCTTTTGGAGACTTTTTTAACTGGTACCTGCCATGAGAAACATCTGCTCTTCTGCCATTCTTCATCTTCAAAACACTGTGAAAAAACTCTACTCTTTTATATTTTCTAAAGTACCCTTCAAATACACCATGACATTTCTATTTGGTAGAGAAGACTCTATCTCCTCTAGTTGAGTCTTGGCCCAATTATTTTTCAAAACATTCTCCATTGAGCTGATCTCGCTTCAATAAAGTTAACCATATTTACAACGTTATCCAAAATGCATTCTTTCCTCTCCAAGAGTATTTGACCCCAGCATTTCTTTATGAACAAACCAGTGTGTTGTGACAGTGTCCAGATTTTCCTATTCAGCAGAAGAAGTGAGGCCTTGTATGAAGCCAGCAAGGGATGAGGTATCGTCAGTCCGGGTGCCAGCACAATTCCTCCAAAATGGGTGCTTTTTTCTAAGATATGAAGATAAAATATATAAACTATATCTTGCCTGTTTGAGCAGTGTAACTGAACTTATCTCTTGGGTCTCATTATCTACAAACCTTACAAATGACTTAATTGATAACAAAGCTAGATGAGGAAGTTGGAGTTTTTTGTTGTTGTTGTTGTTGTTGTTTTGTCAGTTGTGGGGCCTGAATCCTGGGCCTGGGCACTGTCCCTCAGCTCTTCAACTCAAGGCTAGCTCTCTACCACTTGAGCCACAGTGCCACTCCCAGCTTTTTCTGTTTATGGAGTGCTAAGGAATCAAACCCAGGGCCTCATGCTTGCAAGGCAAGCACTCTACCACTGAGCCACCTTCCCAGATCAGGAAGTTGTTTTTATACACTTACTATATAGAATCTTTCAGCATCAAGTAGTCTGTCACCAGTATGTCAATTTGCCATACTGTTTGTGAGTTGAGGCCTTTTCAACTCCATACACTTGAAAAGCATCCTAGCATGCAACTCAGTCTCATTTTATGTGCTGGGGACTAGTAAGTTTTCACTGAAGCTATAAATTTTCCTGGTTGTTTTTTTCTTCAGGCATTACATTCTGCTACTAAGTTCTACTTAGCCACTTTTCTGAAAGTAACTTTTCGTATGTGCCAATCCTGGGGCTTTAACTCAGGGCTTGGGTACTATCTCTAAGCGTTTTTGTTCAAGCCTAGCACTGTACTACTTGAGCCACAGCTCCATTCAGGCTTTTTGGTGCTTAATTGGAGATAAGAGTCTCGTGGACTTTCCTACCTAGGCTGCCTTCAAACCATGATCCTCAGATCTCAGCCTGAAAGCTAAAGGATCCTAAAACTTAGGTAAGCCCAAACCTTGTGTCATTTGTTCAGAGAAGCAATAAAAAACCAGTGAGAGATTATCACTTGTCTCATTGTAAATCTGTTTCTTTAATCTCCCTTTCCATTCTTCCCTGCTGAGTAAATGATAACAAATCCTGAAAGCCATCTCAGGCAAATCTGAGTTTTTGACCCCAACCAACATTTGGGCTCTGGTCTAGTTCACAAGTTGGTTTCATTTTGAACCATGACCAAAGGGTCCTCCTGTTTTATGTGAGATGATCTTCTATGTTGTTATTGCTGTGGTTACCCAACAGTGTACGGTAGCTATTTGTTGCCTATTTCAACTTCTTTGCTTTTTTACCTTTAGGACAAGTTAGGTGACATCATTCTTTGCTTTCTGCAACATCAGAGTAGACAATAAATGTTGTCTCCTTAAATGAACAAATATATAAAAGAAAATAGGTGGAAATGGAGCTGTGGCTCAAAGTGGTAGAGCACTAGCCCTGAGCAAAAAAGCTCAGGGACATAGCCCAGGCCCTGAGTTCGAGCCCCACAACCTACCAAAAAAAGGAAGAGAGAAAAAAAAGAAAGAAAGAAAGAGTAAAAGAAAAAATAGGAGCCCAGTATCTGTGGTCCATGCCTGTAATCCTAGCTACTTGGTAGGCTGTGAATAGGAAGATGGCAGCTTGAGCCCACCCAAGGTAGTGAGACTCCCTTTTCAATCCACATCTGAGAACACAGAGGGTGTCTGTCACCCCAAGTTACATGGGATACTGAGATTGGGGGGATCTGGGTTCCAAGCTAACCCAGGCAGGTCAAGAGACTTCCACAGAAGGGGAGCTGGACCCAGTCATGTGTACCTGTGATCCCAGCAATGCCAGGAAGCCCCAAAGTAGGTGGATCGTGGCTCTGTTGCACACTTGGGCTGAAAATGAGACTTTATTCTAAAAGGAACTGTTGAAAAGCAGAACTGGCAGTATGACTGAGCAATATTGCTACAGCCTCCAAAGCTCAAGGTCCTGAGTAATGCCAAGGGGGGATAAAGGAAAGGAATTGATTACTCTGCCTCTCTGTGTGCTCCCTAAACACAGCTGAGATGCAAACCAGCTTTCCTAACATCCCAGAGATAAACGAGCATTTCTTTTAGAAGCTGAAGGCGGTGGGACATTGTATCTCTAAAGAGAAGGAATTCTGGAGGTCCCATGAGCTGACTGGTGGCCACAGGTTTACAAATGGCAGACTGATGAATCTGGGCACCGGGGAGGGGAGGCGTGGGGGGGAGGGGGGAGGTTGGGTGAAGAACTCACTTCATTGCAAAGATCAGTTTTCTCAGCACCAGCCAAAGAAGAGGACAGAGCCATCTGCAGGTTCCCATGACATCACTTGGTCCTGCCTTGCACAATAGAAGAGAAAAAAACAAAACTGTCAGGGCAGATGTCCAGCTTACTTAGCCATAGCTGATTCCAAGCCAAGTTTTCCACTCTTCTGTCCACCATTTCTGGCCCCAACACTGAAAGTGACTCTTTTAGCATTAGATAAAAACTTCCCAGAAAGAGCCAAATGCTTAATTAGATCTTCAGCCAAAATTTTAAGGTGCCTTATCATATTCCTCTGGTTTGTTATCATACCCGCCTCCCAGCTTCCATGCAGGAGAAATCCAATCCATTTCTAGTCATTTAAACTGTCAAGATGCATATGTTCCTAAAACTATATTATGTCATTTTCCATTTTAAATGTCATTTAAGCCTTATTGTCTGCATTCACATCAATCTTCATCCAACTGTGTCTTCTCAATATTCTGCTGTGGAATTGAGCCTCATGGAGATCTGTAGTTCTCCGTGCTGCTTAGCTGGGTTGGAGGGGTAGTGAATCTGGCTAGTGGGTAACAAATGTGACGGGTTGACTATTGACATGTCCTGGGTGTTATGTGAGGCTGGTGGGAAGCGAAGAGGAAGGCTGCTACTCTCAACTCTGAGCTTCTTCTCATCTTGGGCAAAGGAAGGTGACGTAGGGGCCTCTGTGGTGCTCTGTGTTATCACACAGAGGCCAGGCTGATCTCGCTTCCTGAGTCTTGTTCCCCTATTGAGTGATTCTATCGTCAGACCGCACACTGGCAAAGAACCCTGGGCTCAAAGGCAGAAACCTCGGTTCTTCTCCCCATGGGGTGTCTGTCTTCAGACACAGAAAAGAGACAACAGTGAAAGAACATGGCCACCAGAAAAGATCAGAGACACATTCTCCCCCCTCAGCACCCAGAAGGGATGCATTCTGACAATACCTCAATACCTTGGACTTCTGGCCCCCAGAACAAACATTATTTTCAGACACTAAGTTTGTGGTTATTTATTGTAGTTTGTGGTTTGCTTGTTATAGAGACAACCGGACACTCATACCAGGGGTGAGCTAGCTAGCTCTATATAGCAAATCTCCTTCAGCACTTTGATCGGCTTGTCTTCTGATTCTTCACCTTACCAAGGCATTTCTGCCCTCTCAGGGTTTGAATCCGAGTTGATTCTCTCAGCAACCATTCAGAACCATTCCCTGTTACTCCCGCGAGCACATTAAATCCAGAACCTCTGGCAAGAGCTCTGATTTGATACATCCAGGTTAATACAAAATTATGGGAGTTTTGTTTTATGGCAATATTAGGGTTTGAACTCAGGGCCTGGCATTTGTTAAGAAAGTACTCTACTACTTGAGCCATGTTCTTGGCCATGTTTGCTTTATTTTTCAGAATATAGTTTTGTGCTTTTCCCATGTTGGCCTCAGACCTTGATCCCCCTAAATCGTTTTTTTTTTCAAGTAGATGGGATTATAGGCATGTTCCCAAGCCTGGACCTAAAATTACATCATTGCCTTCCTGGCCTGTAAAATCCACTCTGTTATACTGCCTGGTCTCTGGTACAAGTAGTCTTGAGCAGATTCTTGCCATCCATTGAGCTTGTGAGGTTCCCTCCTCCAGGAAAGACTTTGTGCTTACCTATGAACCTTGCAGGGATACAGTTCCCTCCAGAGTTGTCAGGAATTGAGAAATCAGGAGGGAGCAGGTCAGAGGCTGGTCCTCGGAGCAAAGCTGCGGTCCCTGGTCGTGATCACCAAGGTAAGAGCTTTCCACTCAGTCACTGGGGAACACCATCTACCAGGGCTGGTGAGGGAGCTTCCCTGGCCTTGAATCTTCCCAAACACCCGCCTTCCCATCTTCTCCTGCCTAGAATTATTTCTCTATACACAAGAACTGGTGACAAGCTGGAGGCATGCAACACACAGTGCAGAGCACATCTGATGTTCAGTTGCATCAACCCTGTGACCACAGGACATGGAAATATTTTTCAGGGCATTTACAGAAATCACTATGATCTCTGTTTCTTAAAAGAAAATTTAAACCTTTAATATCTGTGTGTATATGTATGTCTGTGTCTATGAGTACTCTCTCTCTCTCTCTCTCTCTCTCTTTCTCTGTCCCCCTCTCTCAATCTCAATTTTTTTATGCCAGTCCTGGGTCTTGAACTCAGGGTCTGGGTGCTGTCCCTGAGCTTCTTTGTACCCAAAGCTAGTGCTTGACCACTTAAGCCACAGCACCACTTCCAGCTTTGTCTGAGTAGTTTATTGGAGATAGTCTCATGAACTTTCCTACCCAGGCTATCTAGAAGCCTTGCTCCTCAGATCTCTACCTCCTGAACAGGTAGGATTACAGGTGTGAGCCACCAGTACCTGGCTTTTTGGTACAGTTTAAAACAACTCATATTCTGAAGGTAGAGCATCCTTGTTTCTTTCAACTGCAATCAGATAATTTTATTTCTGAACTCCTCATTTTCCTGAGGAGAATGACAACAATTACTGTAACGTAATAATTCAGTGATTGAGAACAGATGCATTGCCTCTTATCACGGGCTGTTAGACCTCTTCCAGAATCATTAGGGATGCTGCAGAAACAAACTGACTACCCTGCTACAAAACAACTTTCAGTTTACACTGTGGTGCCTGGCACTAAGAAGGCTATAGCTTCTGTCACAATCAGACATCCGGAAGCTGCCATCTCAGGGACAAATCCATTTCTATACCTGCTGGCTCCAGAAACTCTACAAAAGACCCAGATCCCACATCCAACTCTCATTCCAAGCAAAAATTCTGCACAGCACAACCTAAATCATCTCTAATTAAAAACAAACAAATAAAAAAAGGTTAGGAGATGCAGTCCAGCCTCTATTCTAAGAAAGCACATGAAGAAAACTCTGAAGGATTCCTGAACCATCAAGGAACCAGCTGGAAAGCTGCACAGCAAAAGTAATAAGAGCCAAACAGCTGCATGGTAAGCTCAGGATATGCCAGAGATCTTCTTGGCACATGAGCCAGAGCACTGACAACTCAGGGCCGGTTGCCTTGCAAATAAGAGAGGAAATTCAACCTCAAAATACACCATGCATGGACAGAAATGGAAAGGCTACACAGGTAGATCAGTGGTAGAATGTGTGATTAGTATATGCAAAACCCTCCATTTCATAGTACTGTCCAAACAAAATTGAACTTGCAATTGTGTGCCCTTCTTTCCATGCTGTGTCTGTGGGATTGTATTTAATTCTATTTTTATTAATTCTCTAATTGTGTTTCAGAATATTGGGAAAAAAGATTTTCACTCTGTGTTCACAACGAATATATACATACTGGTAGCATTAGAGAATAATGCTCCCTACAAGAGGAGGACGCTTTCTAAGTTTAAGAATTCTGGGTTTATGTTTAATTTGGCCAGTGGACGCTATCTAGGCATTATTTTCATTTTGGAGTTTGCATCCACACAGTCAACTAAGTGAAAGCTGGCCTGCTCTAAGAATGCTAATTGTTTACTCCTCATTTAAATAACAACAACTAATACATTGTTTAAGCTATCTGGATTTGCATATGCAAATGATGTTTGTCTCAGCTACTGGAAACTCACTGCTCACAGCTGCATGAAGGATGTCTACTTTAGGAAATTTCCCGTCCATCTTCCCATGATGATGCTTAGTTATGCAAAATTAATTAGCATTTGCAAATTAAGAGATTTGGCTTTCATTTCTGTCTACCTTTCACTCCTAAGACGGTACAATTAATCCCTAAGAGCATTCTTGAAAAATAATCATTTACTACTTAACCAAATCATATGGCATCTAAACCTGGATACACATATGTGAATGAGCGTGGGAAGAGCAGTTATCTGACTGATGAATTGAACATGTGGAGCCCTTTGATTGCTAGGACATGCAGAGATCTCTGGAAGGCCTGGAGCATTCGGCATTGGCCCTGCTTACCCTAGTGACTAAGTCTGCACTGTCTTCTCCATACTTTCTCCTACTGCCCCATAGCATTTTAAAGCCGTGTACTGTTTTCTTATACTAAAAGGCTTCTGAATTCTAAAATAAAGCAGAAAAAAGGCTATTATTCAATCATAGTGGTAGCAAAGTACACAAGTTGTAGTTATATCTCCCCCAACACATGCAGCCAAAGCTATTTGCTCCTTCTCCATGTTTTTTCTTTACCTAGAGAGACTGCTGTAAGATACATACCAGTGACTCACATCTGTAATCTTCACTACTCTAGAAGAGGCTGAGATCTGACAATCAAGGTCTGAAGTCTACCTGAGCAGACAAATCCAAAAGACTCTTATCTCCAATTAACCAACAAAAAGTAGGAAATGGTGCTGTGGCTCAAGTGGTAGAGCTCCAGCCTTGAGTGAAAAGCCAGAAGCCATGAGTTCAAGACTGGCACACACCAAAAAAAAGAAAAAAGAAAAGAAAAGAAAAAGTCACACAAGTTGTAAAAGTTACCTAAGAGTGATAGTACAAGCTGCCATTGTTACTTATAGAAACATAAAACCGAAAGACAGTACATCAGAGGCTTAGCAGACTTAGTCTCAAGAGCTGCTTTTGTTTGAAGCTGGGAGAAAATCTACCATCTTCACCCACCATTGATATCTCCATCAGTGAGAAAGGAGAGCAAAGGTATGTCATGAAATGTGATTTCAATCAGTAGCTCAAGGCATCCAGCAAAAATGCTTTGACCTTGCAATGTCTCCTTCAAAGGCTGCTGTACAAGCAAGTATTTTTACTCACAAAAGGCAAAACCAGTCATTGTTCAGAACCAACATGGCTAGGTTGAAAATATCAGCAACATCTGTGAATTTCTCTGCAAACCCATCAACAGGAACAGGCGGTAATTTAACCACCAAAAAAAAAAAAAAAAAGTGAAGTAAATGACTCTGCAGAGAACTCCTTTGCAGAGGCTGGGCTTTAGGGGATGGATGCAATCACATTATCCAGGCTTTCCCACCGAGCTTGCAGTTTTCTTCTCTGCAGACATGCTGCCAGCTAGTGTGGCTGCCCCTGTCACCACCCAGCTCTCCTGCCACCCATTTGCTACACCAACTGCACATAATATCCCCATGCCTTCCACAGGCATTAGGAATTTGCACAGCTTCTTAGCTGTGCTCTGTTACCTCTTCTTGAGATGTCTTCTGCCCATTTCTCCCTCGGAGAAAATCTACTCGTTCTTGCAGATCCTGTTAGCCATCGTCTGTCCCTAGAAGCCACTCTGCTTCCCTGAAGTGCAAAATAGAAGACAGCTAGTTGTTTACCTTTTCTTATGGGCTACATTATATCCTCTGCCTCTTTCTCCAAATCCATCCATTGAAGTCTTGAGGCTGAAAAACTCAGGTTGTGTGAATTTCATTGCAGGTAACATTATTCTTTAACTGATAAAAAAAAATAACCATTGATGAAAATAAATAACTCTGCCAAATGTCATCCATGTAACCATCACCTCAATCAACATGTGAGATCTTGTTGGGGGACACTGGGGAGCTGTTTGTCAAAAGGATCCAAAACTTCCCTTAGACATAAATTCTGGAGATCTATCGTTTGATATATCCATCTGCTCCTAACAAGGCATTATACACTGAAAAATTGTTGCGGCCACATTTCAAGTGGTCTCATCACAAACAAATGGTCTCTGAAATAATGCATATGTTAAGGAGCTTATTTAGCCATTCCACAGCGTATGCATATTTCAAAGCATTTCAAAACACCATAAATACATATACTTTTTATTTGCTAATTAAAACAAATAAATGAAGAAGTGGGGAGCATGCAGCCAAAAATTCAATGCATAGCCTACAAAATTAAGAAACATGAGGGAAGTGGTGGGTGGGGAATGGTTGAGACTGTTGAAAGTGGTAACATTGATCCAGATGCATTGTATTCATAAACTACTTCATTGAATGGCAACTCCTTTGTCCAACTACTGAAAGATATTGAACATATTTTAAATGAATACATATGTAATATTTGGGGAAAGAAGATATATTTTCATTTTATAAGAAATTTTCTATTTCCTCTGTAATCTCCAGCCCCACCGCTCTTCTATAAACAGACCCATCTACCACTATACAGATTATTTTTCCCTCTTTGTGTTTCATATAAATGGGTCTATGCACTTAACTCTCTTCTGTATCTGGCTTGTTCTTGTCCTCGTAAAATGCAGGATTACCCGTGTTGTCACAATATTTCTTTCTGTTGGGGCCTCAAACTCTCACTCAACTCGCTTGCTCATAGCTGGCACTCTAGTGCTTAAACCAGGTCTCCAGTCCAGCATTTTGGTAGATTACAGACCAAATCTTAAGTGCTCTTTCTAAATGGGCTGGCTTCAAACTGCAACCTTCCAGGTCTCTCCATCCTGTAATTCTAGGATTACAGGCATGAGGCACTGGATCCTGGTCATGTCCAAGGTCAGCAGGAAAATCATCAGAGGAATGGATGTTCAGACAAATCCAAGAAGGAGGCCTTGTGCAGATGCTCTAATCTGTAGCCTGAGGGGCAGCAAAGGACTAGTGAGGAGACCACTGGGCTTGAGCTCAGTGAGGAAAAAGCATGGGTGAGAAACCTGCTCAGGCAGATTGCATTGGAAGAAGGGAGCCCCACAGAATCGCATGAAAGAGCCACACACCTGCCAAGTGCTATAAACCAGATCTTTGTGGTTGCTATGTTGAGAAAAAGCAGCCATGGACCAAGAGTCAGGAGTGCTCCCCAGTGCCACCCTGAACAGATAGAAGCGTATATTTTACCATATTCCTCTGTGCAGTGTGAAAACACACCCACCTATAAAATGATGCTCTCTGCAGATAAGAGCTTGAGGTGCAGAACAACCCTCCCCACTGGCTTTCTTGATCTGTGCATGCTGCTGTTAAGCCCTCTGAACCCAACACACCTATGAACAACAAACATTGGCCTCTGTCCCTCTGGATTCACTAAAGAGATGGACTCTCTGTATTCTTTTTAAATTAATAATTAATTAATTAAACGTGTGCTGGTCCTAGTGCTCAAACTCAGAGCCTGGGTACTGTCCCTGAACTTTATTTGCTCAAGGCTAGCTTACCGCTTGAGCCACAGCTCCATTTCCAGTATTGTTTTTGGTAGATTAACTACCAAATATCTAATTAATTGAGATAAGAGTCTCACAGACTTTCCTCCCTTGGCTGGCTTTGAACCGAAATGCTCAGATCTTGGTCTCTTGAGTAGCTAGGATTACAGGCCTGCAATCTATACATTCTATGTTTTTATCTGATGACAACCAGTAAGACAACTGGAAGGAAAAGTAAAATTCCCTATACTTTATGACTCCACAGACACAGACTTCTCCTGAAGGTTGAGAACATGGCTTCTTGAGCCAATGTCTGGGATTCGATCAAAAGTGTTTCTCACTCTACTGTTTGGCACCCCAACTACCCCAAAAGCTAAAATAACAGTATCTTAAGTCCATTTACATAAAAGTTGCTTTATATCTTCAGTATTTGATTGTTAGATTTGACAAAATGGCTTTTCATTTGTGTTTTGCTTTCCTGATTAACTCTGCAATTCATATCAGAAATGTAGTTGGTGATCTGTAAACAGTTAATAAAGAACTGATTTCAATACAGAACAAACTCAACTGGTCCTGCCTCATGGAAGGTGGAACCGGTGTGGGAAATAGCTATGAACGTCAGCACCACAAGAGAAGATCTATTTTCCAGGTCAATCTTGTTCCAGTGGACGCCCATAAGATCATCTTGGAGCTAGCTGGGAAATGTCTAGGAAGATGCTGTCTGATGTCTCAGATTCCATTAAAGGGGAGAAAAGAAGAAACAACTCTCTAAAGACTTCATGTGTTCAATACAGTTAGTTGTTCAACTTTCTTTCAGTCCTGACACCTGACACCACAAGGCCTCCTTCAACACCATCTGAAATGCCAGTCTTTAACAGTGATCATCTCAAGAGCCAAATTTTCTCACACGGGTTTTCCTGTTTCAAGCAGAAAGGAACTCCCCACAAGGTGTCTTTCTGAGCTCTGCTGTTTCTCTTTTCTAGTGGAAATTATAACCACAGGTTACCATGTTTTCTTTCCTGTGTTTGAAAACCACATATGTTTTAGTGAAAACACTGAAGAATGAAATGGAAGACATTGAAATACAAGGTGCCTGTCACTGGAAATGGAAACATCTTACTTTCTGCTGCTTCTGTGGCAAGAAGTTCTAGTAAACTGAAGGTGTTATTTTTAGGCAGTCAATCTCAGCTGAATATAAAGCTCATGTCTTCTTGCAGAGCAGAGAAACAAGTGCAAATATCCATGAGACTTACATTCCTTTGGATCTTACCAGTGCAAATGGACATTCTCTACCCTGTAGCTTTCTCTACAGCTAAAGAAACTGAGACCAAGAGATGTGACTCCCCAAGTCCAAACATCTCAACAGTAGTAGTAGGCCCAGACATAGCAGCAAGCACAGATTTGGGGTCATTGAACAAGAAACCCACTTTCTTTCCACCACACCACACTCTCTCTTCTTTCTACAGTGGTTTCAGAAAAAGGAGGACAGTAAGATTGTTTGGTTAGGAATGTCCACCTGTTTTATTTGAACTAATTCTCATCCGTGAGGTAGGCAAGCAGAGTCGGAGGGGTGAGAAGGCTCTGTATTCATCCATAGAGATATTGACTGCCAGCATGTGTGGCTGTTGAAGGTGATGAAGGAGGTAAGAGTATTTTTTCTGGGCTGAATGTATTTCAAGGGTTTGGGGGAGGGGGGGTTGTAGTACTTGGGCTGGTTTGAACTCAGCGCCTCCTGTTTGCTTCTCACAACCGATGTTCTACCATCTAAGCCGTATCTCTAGACATGTTTTGGACTGGTTATTTTGGAGACGGAGTCTAATGGACTTTTCCACCAGTCTGGCTTTGAACCATGATCCTCTGGATCTCAGCTTCCTGAGTACATTACAGTTATAAGCCACCAGTTCCCAGCTACTTCCACATTTCTAAAAGTGCTATCTGGCCAGGTGCCAGCAGTCTCATGACTGTAATCCTAGCTACTCAGGAGGCTGAGATCTGAGGATCACAGTTTGAAGCCAGCCTGAGCAGGAAAGTCCGTGAGACCCTTATCTCCTATTACCCACCAGAAAACTAGAAGTGAAGCTATGGCTAAAAGTGGTAGAGTGCTAACCGTGAGCAAAAAGAGCTCAGGGATAGCATCCAGGCCCTGAGTTCAAGCCCCATAGCCAACCAGAAAACAAAACCAAAACCCACTCTCTGAAAATTCCCTCTGAGTTTCTGTCTTTCTCAGGAACACCATAGAAACTTCCAAAACTCTGTTATAACCTGATGGCTACCCCATTGTAACAGAGTGTGTGCCACTCAACACTCACAGGTGGAGGCAGGGGAGAGACCCAAGGTGCAACCAAGTGACGGAATCAGCCAGAAGCTGATACCCACTCCAGCGCGACCTCATAGGTCTCCCTCTGTTGCGCACTGTCCCCTACTCTGCTCTCAGGTCACCTGGGAAGCTGCTTCCATTCCTGAAGCTGAGCCTGCATTTGGCAATTTTATCATTTCAGTTTGGTCCATATTATCAGCACGATGTTGTGAATCTATACAGGAGAGTGACCTGGCACCCGGCCACCCAAGTCCGAATGAACCAAGGAAACTGTGAAGAATATGGCAAAAAAAGGAAGTCATTCCAAAGGATATTTATACTGAGCAAATGGAGGTTTGTTCTTCTGAGGTTAGCCACATTTTCAGCTTTGTCCCTACAGGAGTATAATTAAACACAATTGAATAAGTGTGAATATACACTGTAAAATCATTGCCCTTCAATTCTTCTTTTAGTCTTTATCAGTCCCCAGGACTCCGTCACTGAAACCTTAATGACTTCAAATTCAATTTTCTTAAACCAACCTGTCTCTCTTTTTTTTTTACTTTGTTCCTACTTTGTAGTAATGACTACGTACTTCTTCTCAAAGACCAGCTACCTCCAAATAATAATATACAGTGATCTCATTTGTTCCTTGTATATTTTTAAAAAAATTATTGTTACTATAAAGGTGAAGCTCAGAGTGGTTACAGTTACAGAAATCAGTTATACAAATGAGTGCGTTTCTTTTTGGAGAATGTTACCCCTTCCCTCACTCTCTCCCTGGTTTTTTCCCCCTCCTATCCCCACCTACAAGTTGTCTAGTTTATTTTCAAAACAGTGTCCAGGGAGTATCACTGCTTCATTCGTCTACCCTTCTT